GGGTTAGTGGTGAACATGGTGCTGGGTTGATGGTTGGAGTACTTTTAAGCATGTTTTCCCCTTTTAACAGCAAATTAGAAAATTAAAGGCACTTTAGAAAAATGTAAGACACAGAACGAACCACTGAAACAGCAAATATAGAATTTTTATAGAATTTTTTAATAGAGCAAATATAAAGCAGAGTAACTCTAATTTCTGAATTCGTTGATCTCTCTGCTCTTGCTATCTTAGAGGTGACTGTCATGACTTTTCTATCCACAAGAAACTATGCCCTAACAGCTAAAAAAAAAATCAACCTAAAAGTAGCTGCAGAGAACTGACCATGAACTGAGAAATGCTTCATCACAAAGCACTTCACACTTTTTTTGTTAAATGAGGAACCTCTTTAGTGTGTCTGATGTGGGCAAAACCTTGCTGTCCTTGGGTGATGTTAGTACAGAAAATAAAATAAAATTCGATATAAGCACTGATTAGAAAGAAATCAGTCAGTGCTGATCACTTTAGGATGGAACTGAAATCACCAAATATCAAAGAATCACACTGTAAATGGTTATATTTACAGGGAAAGGGGGGAAAAGAAGGGCCAAAGGTTTCAATGATCACAGAATGGCAGAAGCTCAGACTGGTTTGGGTTGGAAGGGACCTTAAAGCTCATCCAGTTCCAGCCCCTGCCATGGGCAGGGACACCTTCCACTATCCCAGGTTGCTCAGGGCCCCATGAGTCACTGAAGAGCTGCTGATGAACGGAGATGTAAGAAAAGCAATATGATGAGAAAAAGCCTTCTTGGCTTTGGATCCTCATGATCTCACTTATGTTTATTCTGCATTTTTAAGTGCCTGGAGAAATGAGTAGGCACTTTCAAATGTAAATGTGAAAAAGTAAATAAATACCAAATTCCTAATTTAGCAGAACTGCAATTCTGACGTACAGATAAACTGAAATGCAACCCATCATAATTAGATTTTTACCTTACCTTTCTCCTAAATAACTTTTAAAACTAGTTTTTACAAATTTTTGACATCTATTTCCACATTCCTTCCAATACAGTTTTTTTTTCTATTTCATGAAAGCATTGCTAGGAGAAAACAAGAGAAGAACAGAAATGCTCTCACATCGTTGTGATTTGAGCCAATTAATTCTTCATTAGTGTTTCCATTACGTCTGTGCCTCCCCCCAATAAAACACACACACCTGGTCCCAGTCCAAGAACAAATAACTGAACTAAATTAAAAAAACCTGAACCTGCACATGTTAAAATGAGAAAATTGCCCTCCGGCCCCTCCCCAGCACCCAAATTGTGCTGCAGGTGGTCAAACCTCATGAGGACCAGCCTGGACAGTGGGACCACCAGTCTCATCCCTCACAAAGCCACAGGAGCTGCAGAGACCTGGTGTTGATGCTCATGGCCACCATTCACATTCCATCCCAACCCTGCTGCAGCTTTTGGCTGTGTTGTGTTTTTGGGTAGCGATGAAGAACTTTCCCTCCATCCCCCAGAATTCAAGGGTGATGATTTCTTTCCCTCTAGAAGCTTCTTATTAACAATGATACTTATTTTTCCAGTGTTGCCTGCATAGGAAGGTTGTTGGGATGGACCAAAGTCTCCTACAAAGTCAAGTCAAACCTCTCAGGGCTAAACCCCAAACCAGCAGCTAAAACATCAACAGCAGTGCTTAGACCAAGGAATTTCATTCACCAAGCTAAAAAGAATTCAGTTAGCCCATTTAGGAAAATTAATGAAAGTAAAAGCTTTACTTTAAATGTTTTATAATCTTCTGGTGGATAATCTGGGAAGCAGAATTCCCCTGATGTTAAGAGATGGAAGGAGAAGCAGCAGTAACTATTTCCCACCCGGCTTTGCCCGTTTTCACATTCACCCCAGTGCTAAAGTTTTCACAATATGGCACTTTATTTCATCCCAGCTAATAAAAAATTCGTCAGTACCATCCTGGAATTTGGAAAATTCCTCACACTGAGGAGTTTTCATACCATGGAAGAGAAAGTACAGAAGATCCTCATGAAAACAAAGGTGCTGTGCAATCATGAAAAGTGAGAATCCCTTATTCACTCCCCAGTGATGACATTCGTGGGCAGACATGAATGAAAGACACTGCAAAAATCAGACTTCTGAGATAATTATTACTAATAATCAAGTGATTGATTTCTGTTATGAGGTCTTGGGGAACACAGAGAGTAAATGGGGGATGGTAAGGATTTTTTTCTCAGGTCCCATTTTTATCTAAATACATAAATAGAACAACTTCTTGGTAAAAATTGTTTTGTTAAAAAATACCAACACATTGTTTACAATAACTCTGAGGAATAAAACCACAGCTACTTTATGCAACTTATCACCGACTGCTTCTATGGCCCATGTTTATTGACATGAACACAGAACCATAGAATCACAGAATTGTTTGGGTTGGAAAAGCCCTCTTAGACTATGAAGTCCAACCCACCAGCACTGCCAAGACCACCACTAAACCATGTCCCCAAGTGCCACATCCACATGGCTTTTAAATCTCTCCAGGGATGGTGACTCCACCACTGCCCTGGGCAGCTGTGCCAGGGCTGGACAAACTTTTCCACAAAGGAATTTTCCCGAATATTCAACCTAAATTTCTCCTGGCACTCGTTCTCTGGGAGCAGAGCCCGATCCCCACCCAGCTCCACCCTCCTGTCAGGGAGTTGCAGAGAGCAATGTCAAAGCCTCAACCCCTCTTCTGCTGATCAAAAGCTACTTTAAGTGAACAACCCTGTCACTGAGAAGCTCACAACCCTTCAGATGTGTTCAGGCAGCACATGTTGACAGCTGAACCACATCATTTTTATTGCTGCTGACCACGAATGAGGGAGATGGGAGACAGCANAATATTCAACCTAAATTTCTCCTGGCACTCGTTCCCTGGGAGCAGAGCCCGATCCCCACCCAGCTCCACCCTCTTGTCAGGGAGTTGCAGAGATCAATGTCAAAGCCTCAACCCCTCTTCTGCTGATCAAAAGCTACTTTAAGTGAACAACCCTGTCACTGAGAAGCTCACAACCCTTCAGATGTGTTCTTATTCTAACCTTTCAGGCAGCACATGTCGACAGCTGAACCACATCATTTTTATTGCTGCTGACCACGAATGAGGGAGATGGGAGACAGCAGCCCTGGATGATGGGAGCAGGGAGGGGATGAGTGTCCTGTGGCACTGACCTTGCTGGAGCAGTGGGTGGTGGAAAGCTGGCACGGGAAGGTTTGCCAGGGTGGCTGGCTCACAGAAATAAGCTCTCAGCCAGGCTGTGCACTGTTCCAGTGGCTCCGGCATCTCCTCCGCTCCCTCACACACTTCACAGGCAGCCGAGGCCTCTGCCCTGATGGGAGAGACAGAAATGAAAAATTACAATGATAAAAATTGCAACCTGGTCTAGTGGAAGGTGTCCCTACCCATGGTAAGGGGGTGGAATAAGACAGTCTTGAAGGTCCCTTCCAACCCAAACTGTTCCGGGATTCTGTGAAAATAATGAATGTTCACATTCTGTATATCAGCAGAATAAAATCCTCAAAACATTTAATCTGGAGTTAGACTCCAGCTATTTTCTGTTCAGATAAAGGTGACAGGATTCCTCATAGCAGTAACAAAAATGCACACTCATCATCTCTAGAAATGCAACAATGACACAATGTTAGGTGCAGCTGCAAAAAAATCCATGGAAGATCGGCATGAAGAAAATGCTGTGTGTGAATAGGAAATGTCAGAGAGCAAGACCCAAACCCACGGTGGATGACACATCCTTGTGCTTCCGTGGAGGTTCCTCCTCCATGTCCCCCAAGGGCACAGTCCCTTCTCCCCAGGGACTATCCCTGGGGAAAGGAGGAAAGGAAGCAGCTTTCTGCCGCTCCCGTGCCTTCCTCTGCTCCGCTTCCTTCCAGCAACGTGGCAGGTCTCTGCTTTCCTCCCCTGATTGAATTGGAAGGAAGCAATTGAGAATTCATTTGATTTTCAATGGCAGCTCCTGCTTGCAGGGTCTGAAGAGAAAAGCGAGCGAACAGAAAGCACCTGTAAATAAAAATGTGCTTCTTCCCTTGCTCCTTTTTTGCTTCTTCTCCTTTGGAGGAGCAACGTGTGTATGAGAGCGATGAAAATGTGAACACTGGATTTGCACATATCCAGCTGCGTTTCCCAACCTGCACATTTTCAGGGATGCAGAGCAGTGCTGGGAAAGGGGTGGTGATGTTCTCCTGGTGCTTCCAAGGCTGTGACGTGGTGGGGATCTCTCCAAACTGCAGGATTTCAGGGTACCAACAAACAAACAGCCCATTAGTAATGCACCCCTGAGAAGTGATGGAGACAACATCAAGGGTGATGGCCAAAAACAGCAATCCCTGTCAATAATCTCCTCATATCCAGAACCTTCAGCACCACTGATGAGCCATCCAAAGGTTTTCTGATTACTGCAGCTTTTTTTTCCCAGGTGGAGCCAGAAGTTCCTCAACAGCAGAGCCTTCTGACGAGAGGCTGGATGTGTCACAAAGCAGGAGGAAGGGGAGAAAACTGTAGAAACATCGAAATACATGTGAACCTGAGACAACGGAAAAGCAGAGGAATTGTGCCACCCAGTTGTGGGGAAAGAGCAAACCCCACCCAATTCCCAGCACACTGCGAGGGAGTGACAGTATTTTGTGAGATCCCTCTGAGCAAAAAGCCAAAGCAAACGAAATGAGTGATGTTCCAGTAATGGCATCAAAGGCACCGGCTCTGCCTTTGCCACAAGGCACCTCTGCAAAAAGACTGAGCCTCTTCCCACTCCTGATGCACAACAGCCCGTGGAGCCGGAGCGACAGGATGTCGGCGGGATCAGCGGCAGCCCCGGCGCTGCCTCCGGACAGGATAAATGATGTGCTGGCAGGAGCCGGGTCAGGGCCGCTCTCAGAAGCAAAGCCCTCACTTGCCTGGTGCCTGATCAAACGGCCCTGCCATGTCCCCCAGCCCCAACTCACTTTCTGATTAATTGTTAACCACGTAATTACTGATGAGGAAGTGGCAGAGAACAGGAGGGACACAGAGATGGACAATTAAAACACTCCGGTCACACCAGAATCCGTGGTTTGGAGCAGAGGCAAAACAACACAGAAGAATCAGATTGGGATCCAGTTTGTTGGGAATTAAGTGCAATTTTATTTCTCCTTTTCCATTTATTTATCAAATTAATGCTTTTGATTTTTCTTTTTGTGTGTGAAGTAGGACCAAATTGATTTATAAAGCTGATGTCTAAAGCTTATGTTATTTTTCTAATTAATAATCTTTCTCCTAAAAAAAAAAAAGGTATGAGAATCCAAGCATCCAAGCATAAATTTTTTTACATGAAACCCCCCAATATGGACTCAAACCAAGCTTCCAGCACAAGGGATAATCTGTTATTCCACACAGATACAACACAGCAAAATATGGCTCCGTTTTACCATGGACTGCTGGAGCTACGACAAAATAATAATGACAGGATATAATGATAACGCCTCTGAAACCTCCACGAGAAGTTGGGAGACTTTTCTGCTCCATTTATCCAGAAGAGCATGGAAAGCGCTCAAAACTACAGTCGCCTTATGTTTTTCACATCATCTTGTTTCACATTCTCAGGAGTCTGGAAATGATTTGGACTATAATGTCATCATAAAACTGAACGACTCCATCTCCTTGGAGCTCTGTGAGCAGCAGCCCCAGGAGCTGCCAGACAGGGACCAACCCAACAGGTCCAAAATAACATCATTCACCCCCAAATCAGGAGGGGAGCAGCTCTGGGGAGACTATGGGAACCCCTTCCAGTGCCTAAAAGTACCCAGAGAGCTGGAGAGGGACTTGGGACAAGGGTCTGGAGCAATAAGACAAGAGGGAATGGCTTCCCACTGCCAGAGAACAGGGTTATATGGGATATTGGGAAGGAATTCTTGGTTGTGAGGGTGG